AGCTATAAAACAACCAATTTTTTTTTAGTATCATGAATTGTAAATTTTTTGTTGTCTAGCATGCCAAAATTATCAAAACAAAAACACTATATGATGTATATGCGTTCTGAACAAGATCAAATTAAACAAATTAACAATACTATTATCACAATTTGACCCAGAAATTCGTCCACGAATCTACAACATTCTTACCAATATTTCGAGTTGGACACAAGAGGAGGAGGCATTTCAAGCTATTCGTGAAATGCCGGGTCTACAAAAAAATAATGCATTAAATTTAATTAAATTAATGCGAAACCCAAAAGGAAAATATAAAGGTGAAATAATTTCAGCATATCACCAAAAGAAAGCTTTTGAATATATCACCGATAATCGTAAAAACAAAGTTGAATTTTTAAAAACTAAGAACTCACAACTAAAATCTATAAACCGAAGATTATCTAGAAGTAATCAAAATCTAATAAATAAAGTTCAATCCATAAGCAGTTCAAATCGGCATCTAAAAAATAAAATAGATAAATGGGTTTCAACCATCAGATCATTAATATGAAGACAAAAGAAAATATCTAATGAAGAATTTAAATAGCAAGTTAAAACATTATTTAAAACAAACAATCATGAATATTCGCCAAAAATGGTTTGGCTTTTGACGAAAATTTCACAGATCAGACAAATCTTATTAAATGCTACTGTAGAATTATTGCGTCTTGTTTACGAATTTTTAATCGGAGAACCTCCACAAAAATGGTTATCGGTATTTATATTAAGCACTTGGCACCAAGAAGTTTTACAAATTGAAACTGAATTCGTGATAAATCAAATTACCAATGTTCAAAGTTCAGCATTCTTGTTGATAAGTCAACCCATGGAGAAACTAAACATTTTATTATATGCATTATGTTTTGGGATAATAGTAAAAATATACTATCAATTGTTGTAACAAATCTTTCAAATATAAAAAATTGTAACAGCAAATCGGTATCAGATAACGTTCTCAATGCAATCATAAACCATGGGCTTGATCCAAAAAGGTATTAGGCTTGGGTAACTGACAATATGGCATATATGTCCGGTAACCGAAAAGGCACTATGATTCAATTTAATAAAAAGCTAATGTGAACACAATAAGAATTGGTTGTGGACTACATATAATACACATAGTTCTAATGCATTTTGAGAAAGAAGCTTTTGGAAAATTACCTGCTTCAATCAGATTCTCCAGAAAGCCACAACTATTTAACTTGCTATATCTATCGTGGTACCTACATAATGGATATAATGTAAGTAACAAGGATAAGCCTCTTAATATAAGATCAGAATGGATGAGGCAATTATATAGTAAGTTATTAGGATACAATTTTTCACAGTATCAATTGCCGATTAGAGGATGTTGGGGCTATGAATTGTGTGCCGCTAAACAATATTTGGAATGGCATGAAGCACATATAAAATTTGCCAATTGGTTTATCCAAACACTCAAAAATAACTGTAATATGCCAGAGTCATATCTTTCTGATTGGTGATTATTTCGAGATTGGCTTCTAGATAAAAAATTGAATATTCAAATTCAGTGTTTAGTTAAATTTGGAGAGTATTTGTATGAGCCATTAATGCAATTTATAGTTGGAAAAAACCCAATACCTCGCGTCCAGTTAGATAATCATCTGATTCAACTTCTATCAGGTCGTCGTGCCCATGAGATGCGTGACAAAGTAAATGAATGAATTAATTATTTAAATGAGCTTAAAGAAAACTTTGACTTATTTTTCAGGGAAGAACTACTAATAGTATTAGAATCTCTAAATAATGAAGATTTTAGTGAGCTATTTGACAAGTTGGAATGAGGAATAAATAAGGCGTATGACTATTTTTTAAAATGGATATCTCTATGGATACATTTACCATTATCAATTTGCCGTTTAGGTAGAGATTCCAGCCACGAATTCGCACAAGCATTCTACTATGTAATTTTTGAATCATGGCTTTCAGAGCTAACAGAAAATGAAATTAATTTTGCACAACAATTATATGATGATTTTAAAACAATTAATAATATCTTTGGCCTTCAAGATGAATTATTAAATTGCCTGGAATTTAAGGATGAATTTCAAAAATATTGTCTCGCTCCTAATTTCAAAATTTATGAGTACTCATTATTATATAAATTTGTTAAAGAACAAATTTATTTTATTATAATTCATCAACAACAAGTTGAAGGACTTTTTAATAAATTAGATTTGAAAACTCACCCAAATATGACACAGGATCTAAAATAGTCAAAATTAAAACTTTCTTCCAGAAATATAAGCAAAGAAAATATTGCTTTAGGGATCTCAGAAGTTTATGCAAAACATAAAAGGCTGTCACAAGAAACTTCGCAAGGTGATATAGAAATATATGGTGAAGAAGAGGCAACTAAAATTTTTTTGGAATTATTTAAAAGTTAGTCTGTCTATAAAAGAAATATGTATTTTTTATTAATTAATATATATATAATTTTTTTTCAATATACATATAACTTATAAAAATTTATTGATGATCGATGATCTATAAAAAAAAAAATCATATTATTTTTTAATATAAGACTATACATAAATTTGATCTATATAGTACATTGAATACCCCAATACTGCAGATATTTGGTGGATTTATAGCAAACTATCAGGTACATAACAGGAAACTTGTCATTAATTCAACATGTGTGGCATATATTGTTTTTTGCACAAAAAAATAAAATATTCTTGTATAAAAAAATTTTTTAGACAGCATATTTGTACTAAATTTTAAAAATTTTTTTTATACAGGAATGTTATTTTTTATTTTTTGTGCATACTGCATAGTAATTGTTAATTTTTGTGCAAAAAACAATACATGCACAAAGAATTTTGACATATAATATTAAATAATTACATTAGACCAGTAATGGTAATAACCTGGTCATTTGCAAAATTTTCAAATGACCTCAAATAACCCCAAAATGACTGGTTATTATAGGTCATCTCAATTTTGGATTATTTGGAAATGACTTGTAACCAAATGACCATAGTCATTTAGAAATGACCGGGGTCATTTGAGGATCATTTAATCTATAGATTTTGAAATAGGCTGGGTTAGACTAGGTATTTGTATACTCGGGCCCAAGCTCAATAAAAATTTATATGCCCAACCCAACCCAGAATGGTAAATGATCCAGTTGTTTGATCAAAATTTAAATGACCCAAATCATCAAGATCATTAAGCTCATTTACGTAGATCATTTGCATATAAAATAATATTATTGGTCGAATTAGTCATATAAAAAGTTATTACATTCCTAATCGATAATCATAAGTCTTAGTCAATTATTATTTATAAATTGAAAAACTT